GCAGGTCTTAAGCAGCTGATATACCAATCACATGAGAAGCCTGTAAAGGAACTGGGGGGTGGGTCTTATTTGAGGCTCAGTGGGCCTCCTGGCCCCGAGCCTTGGACATCTGAGCCCCTTCTGGGGGCAGAGGAAATCCTGGTGTCACTCACTTTGGAGGGTCCCTGAGCTTGCCCCAAGCCCTTGGCTGTTTGCCAAGGCTGAGCCCCAGTTCCCTCACTGATCCCCTCTCGCTCCCTAAACTCCCACCCCATTGGGAACCTCCACTATTCCAGCCCCCCCAATCCCTGAGATGCCCCCTTACTAAAGTATAACATGGCCTAGACCCTGCCAGGGCCCCCAGCTGGCCTGCCACTTCTCTCAGCCAGAGGTGGGCTTCCCGTGAGTTAATGAAACTTCGGCTTGGGCCTTGCGCTGGCCCCGCACGGTGAGGGCTGGGGCTGCTGGAGTCAGGCAGTGTTCTGGGGTGGGGGGTGCGGGACAGCCAGGTCGCACTTGGCATTTTCCATGAAGCGTTCCTGGAAAACTGCCCAGAGACATGTCCGAAGAATGGACCCACATCCCCAGGGCTCCTGTGATCGGCTGGGTNCCTTCTGGGGGCAGAGGAAATCCTGGTGTCACTCACTTTGGAGGGTCCCTGAGCTTGCCCCAAGCCCTTGGCTGTTTGCCAAGGCTGAGCCCCAGTTCCCTCACTGATCCCCTCTCGCTCCCTAAACTCCCACCCCATTGGGAACCTCCACTATTCCAGCCCCCCCAATCCCTGAGATGCCCCCTTACTAAAGTATAACATGGCCTAGACCCTGCCAGGGCCCCCAGCTGGCCTGCCACTTCTCTCAGCCAGAGGTGGGCTTCCCGTGAGTTAATGAAACTTCGGCTTGGGCCTTGCGCTGGCCCCGCACGGTGAGGGCTGGGGCTGCTGGAGTCAGGCAGTGTTCTGGGGTGGGGGGTGCGGGACAGCCAGGTCGCACTTGGCATTTTCCATGAAGCGTTCCTGGAAAACTGCCCAGAGACATGTCTGAAGAATGGACCCACATCCCCAGGGCTCCTGTGATCTGCTGGGCGTGTCCCTCTCATTCTCGGCAATATCCACTTCACATGAATTGTGTTCTTTCTCCCAAAGGGGGCCCTTAAAATTGGGCTGGCCCTGCCTTACCCCTTACCATCCATTCTCCACACCGGCCGGACCACCTCAGCAAAGCAGCACGCCCCGGCCTGTCTGTGGCTCCGACGGCTCTAGCTTGGAGGGAGGCCAACTCCTCCCAGGGCCCTGGCCAGGTCCTCCACGGTGACCCTTCACCCTCTGCTCCAGCCGCACTGACCCTCAGTCCCTCAGGCCACTCAGGGGCCTTAAGACCTGCCTGGGCTTCCCCACCACCCCGTTGGCCTGGGAACTGCCCCTCAACCTTCAGGCCTTTCCCAGAGAGGCCTCCCTGACCCCAGACCACATCACACGCCTCCCACACCTGGACCGTCCATCGACGTGGCCCCCGCCTGTGTGCGACAAACCCGCTCGGCCCCCGGAGCCTCCTATGTCATTCACCTGCTCATTCAGGTCAAAAACCAAAGAGCCCCCTGGATTCTGCTCTTTCTCTCAGGCCCAAACCTAATCGATTAGGAAATCCTATCAATAAACTCCACAAATATGCCCAGAATCCAACCCCTTAGGGCCACCTCCCTCCACGGCTACCACCGTGGTCCAAGCCCCCATCATCTCACCCGGGTTATTCCAAATGTTTCCAGACTGGACTGCTGTTTCTACACTGTCTGTCCTAAAATCTGCAAGGAGAGGAATTCCTCAAAAATGTAAGTCAGGTTATGTCACCTCCTGCGCAAGCCCTCAGCTGGCCGCCCGTCACCAGCTGCTGGGGGGGGGAGATCCAACCCCCACCGTGGCCCTGAGCAATCTGGCCCTGCCGCCTCTGTGACCTCACGGACACTCCGCCCTCTCTGCGGTGCTCCAGCCTCCCCGTGTCCTGCCTTTCCTCACGCTCCCCCAGCTTGTTCCCGCCCCAGGGCCTTTGCCTGTGCTGTTCTCTCAGCCGGGGAGGTTCTTCTCTCAGCTCTTTGCTTGGCTCGCTCCCTCCGTCCATTCGGGGCTCCTCAGTGAAGCCCCCTGTAGAAGGCAGCTTCTAAGGTGGCTCCCAGGGACCCCCGCCTTCTGCCACACCCTCCAGTCATCCCCTCCTCTCAAGGGTAACTTGTTTCTAACCAACAGAACACAGCAGAAACAGTCATGCTGTGAGCTGCCCTACAGAGAGGCTCATGTGGCAGAGAACCAAGGGAGACCCCTGGCCAACAGCCCCAGAGGAACTCAGGCCCTCGGCCCAACAGCCCAGGAGAAAGTGAATCCTGCCGACAACCATGGGAGTGAGCTTGCAACTGGATCCTTCCCCGGTCGAGCCTTAGGATGACATCATAGCCTTGGCCAATATCTCGACTTGGGCCCTAAGCCATCTTGAGAGACCCCTAAGCCAGAGGACCCAGCCAAGCTGCATGCAGATTCCCAACCCACACAGAAAGTGAGACGATACATGTCTGTTATTTTAAGCTGCTAGGTTTTTGGGGTCATTTGTTACGCAGCTGTAAACAACAAAAACGCCCTCCCTAGCTCAGTAGACCCCTGGCACTCCACCCCCTTACTGGATATTCAGTAATTACTCTCGAATGAGTGAATGGAGAAAGAAACACGGGACACCCAGAGGGACAATGCCATAGCTAAGAAAAGCCAGAAGTGGGGGGCTCAGGAGGGAGGTGGCCGGTTCATCCCAATCCCAGCTGCCACTGAGGTTCCCATCATGTCCTCTTAGCAGGGACTGGGCACTCTGGTCTCCCACCTCTTCAGCAGGATGCGGGTCAGGGCCCAGGGCCCAGGCCCAGGGCTCTCATGGTCTCTGTGGAGTCAAGTCCCAGCTCCAGGCCATACCTTTTGCATCTCCTCTGCCCGCTGGACTTCGGGCCCATTGCTCTTTGTTTGGCATGGAGGTTTGCTAAATGCCTCACTTAGAGGGACCTAATGTTTATTCCCTTGTTGGACTTTTCACAAAAATAATTTTGTAGATAAGAAAAGAGTCCTATTCCCGCCCACATGCCCCCATTTTTGTTTGGAAAACGGTCCCTGTGCCCATAAAAAGGAAAGGGCTGCTGAGTCTAGTCCCTCCCAGCCCTGTCCCCACTGGGTGCTAGGGCTACATGGGGGCCAGGAGGCTGGGGAAGCTTCCAGCAAAAACATCAGAACGGTTGAAACCTGGTGCCCAGTCTGGGTCTGGCAAGGAGCTGGCCCTGCGCCCCCCTAACTGAGCCATTTCCTCCTAGACTGGGGCAGGTTTCCTGCCCGGAGGGAGCCGAGCACACTCCCAGGCAGAGGGGGCTGGGTCCTATACTGGGGGTGGGGGGACCCACAGGCTTGTCTCCCACCTCAGCTACTCTGGGGCCGATAGGCCCCTCTTGGGGGTAGATCACAGGTGGGGCTCAAGCTGTCACCTGGGTGGCCACTCCTGGAGGAGTCAGTGGGAACCACCCCACCCAGCCTTGGAGCCAGCCTGCCTTGGGGCCAGCCTTCACTTGAGGTGGGGAGTGAAAAATCCTAGGCCAGACTGTCTGCTCCAGGGGGGCCTTTGGGTGACCATGGCAGCCTCCACTGAGAAGCGAGACCCATAGAAGCCTAGAAGCCTCCAAGAACCCTTTCCAGCCGTCGTTTCCTCCCTGGTGCCTCCCCTGCCACTCCAACACACGACCCTCACAAAACCTTAGCAGCCCCCTGGCCGTCTCCTTTCCCCCATGGGGCCCCTGCTGGGAAAGGGCCCCAGCTCAGTCCCCAGGGAACCAAGCTGCCCTGTGGGGCTGGGCATCTGGGCCAGGAGAACACGACTGTGACGGAGCCTCAGGCTGCCCTGGACAAAAGGTGGCCAGAACCACACTGCAGAGCCTTCCGGGAATGGACCCGCCATGTTTTTCATGCCCACCTGTTGGCTCTCCTGGCCCCAGTTCTTCAATAGGAAGAGGGTAGCAGGAAGCATGCAAAGCACTTGAGCTCTGGGGGGTAGGCCAGCTGGACTCAAACTATGGCTTTGCCACTAACTAGCTGTGCACCCTTGAGAAAGTTACTTAACCTCTCTGAGCCTCAGTTTCTGAATCTGTAAAAATGGATAACAGTACCAACGTCTTGGGGCTGACGTCAGAATGAAATGAAATCATAAAAATGCTCAGCACGGTGCCAAGCACACGGTGAGCACCCAACCCGTGATAGCTGTTCTTCTGACAGGCTCAGAGAGGGCCAGCAGCCTACCCGAGGGTACACAGCAGCACAGCAGAGGAGCTGGCACCCAACCTTTTTCCGTCCACTCTGTGGCCTCCCCGAGCAGGGCCTGCAGAGGACATGGGAGGAATGGAGCTGAGACAGGAAGCATCCTCATGGTCTTAGACAAGCCAGGGTCAGGGTGGGAACCCAGGAGCACCTACAGAGGCTTTTTCAGCACTGTGACCCTTCAGCTGTATCTCAGCCTCGGGTGGGACAGGAGTGGGTGCTGGATTCCGTGTCCATCCCACTGCCTCCCACCACCTCCGCAGCCCCCTCAGTAGTAAACTCCTGACACGTCCCAGGAGCCTGCCCCGGCCGGAGGAGCTGTGCGGCCTCAGAAAAACCTCTTGCTCTCTATGTGGCCATGATTCTGAGCACAGGATAAGAAAAATGTCTTTATTATCTTGAAGAGAACAGGGAGGCCGGCGGAGGGAAGCCATCCAGAGATGCACTTCTGCCCCATCTCCATCCTCCGAAGGCAGGTCTAGGGGGCTGTGTGTCCACTGCCCACCCAATGGTCTCCAGGTGCCCCCACTTCTGAGGGCCCTAACCCCAAACCCTCCCCTCCGTCTCAGGGGGCTCCAGTGCCCACCTTGAGTTCCGGGCGGGGCCAACCCTGCCAGCCTGCCTCCAGGCACCCTGCTGGCGTCAGGCCTGCAGGTGAGCCTGGGTGGGCCCGAGACAGAGTCCTCCGTGGGGTGGGTCAGGAGGCGGCCGTCCCCTGGGTCGGGGCAGGTGCTGAGGGCTCGGGCTGGCTTGGAGCCGACACTGAAGGCTTCGGGGATGGAAAGTCCTGAGGGGACGGGGAGAGGAAAGAATGGCAGATACCCCCCAGCCCCCCGCCCATGAGGGGACTTCGGGCCTCCATTTATCTGAGACCTTCCTCCCATTCAGGGCCTCTGGGGCACAGGTCAAAGGTTAACACCCCCACCCCAGGAGAGGCTGCTCCCAGGGCTGTCTGGGGGATGCACCGGGGGCGGGAGCTGCCCACCTGTAACTGGCAAAGGTCAAGCAGGGTGCGGGCGCCCAGCAGGCACCAGAGCTCGCCCAGCAGGGAGATGAAGACACCCAGGAGGTCCAGCCAGCGGCCCACGGTCAGCAGCAGCACGCAGAGGCCGCTCATGCGCACCAGCACCGTCCGGACCGGGCTCTGCAGGCCAGGGCGCTGCCGCTGCTCCTCTGTGGGGCGCACACCGCCTGTCACCTCATGCCTGCCCCAACCGATGCCCCAAACTGAGGCTCGGCTGGCTCAGGGCTGGACCTCCCCCCCAGCTGCCCTCCCCAGGCGGAGCCTTCCCCTCCCCTTGTAGCCCCTCTCCCTTGCTCCCGGGCCCACCCCCACTCTCCATGCCCCCGGAACACCGGCCCTGGTGCCTCCCAGGCCTCGCTGCCCACTGCAGGCCTCAGGCTAGCGTGCTCCTCCCGTGGTCAGGACAGAGCAGCCAGCCTCCAGCAGCAGGAGTTGCCCGACTCCCCTCCTGCAGCTCTATGTCTGGCCCATTACTAAGCCTGTCAACTCTTCCTGCCACACAGATGCCCACCCAAGCACATCTGGACGCTCCACTGCCCCACCCTGGTCCCAGCAACCTCCTTACGGGTCTCCTGGCTTCTGTTCTTGACCCTATAACTCAAGTGTCTACTCAGCAGCTCGGGACCTCACTCACCAGTGAGAGGAAATCTTCCCTTTGCTATAATCCATTAGCACTTCCCACCGCGTTTGAAATAAGCTGCAGACTCCTCACCTTGACACGAGGCTCTGCTCTATTTGACCGGTGCCTGCTCCCAACCTCCTCTCGTCCCTGACTTGTTTCCCCTTTGCCCAGACCACCGGCCATCCCGGTGTCCTTGCTGTTCAGCGAGCACGCCAAGCTCATTCCTGCCCCAGGGCCTTTGCACCTGCTGCTCTCTCGGCCTGCCGACCCTTCCTTTTCCTGCCACCCTCTCTGCAGCCAGGAGGCTCTTCCTAGAGCCCAGATCTGACCGGGCCACTCTCCCCACTTAAACCCCTGCAATGGCTTTTGTTGGAATGCCCAGCCTGGCCCGCAAGGGCTCCATCAGGCCCCTATGAGCCTCATCAGCCTCAGCTCCTTAGACTCTCCTGGGTTGAAAGCTACACTCAGCTTTTCTGAGTTGTTTGAGGCCGCCAGGCTCGCTCTCACCCCTGAGCTTTGGCGTACAGGTCATGTCCCCCCTCGCCTCTCTCAGGGGCTCCTGCTACCCTTCCAGGTCCAAGTCCAGCACCGTCTCCTCAGGGACCCCCCGCCCGCCGCACCCTTCTCCGAGCTGCCCCGCCATCTGGCCTCTGCCACCAGGCCCAGCGCTCCGGCTCTGGGATGGCGAGGGCTGGGGCTAGCCTGTCGGCCTCCCGGGGACGTGGAACGGCACGGGGCCCATCAGACAGCAGGATGCAAACGCCTGGACCCCCCCGTGGCCCTCACCTTGCATGTAGATGACCAGCAGGGTGTAGCAGATGGTGAGAGGCGTCCAGAAGCGCACGGCCTCCGAGGAGGTCAGGAAGTCCTGGTTGATGAGGGCCACGGCCGCCAGGTCGCCCACGGC